AGCTTCTTTCAACATGTGAAAAACAAGAGAAAAAGTCAAGGAAATTATTGATCCATTAATGGGACAAGGTGACGAGCAACAGGGAGAAAGTAGAACTGCTTCAGTAGAACGACTTGCCTCGAGAAATTGTGAAGGCTCCAACAAGTTTTTAAGAAGAGATGTCTCCACCATTTGTCTGAATTGGTGTCGGGTTCTTGCTTGAGCAGGGGGTTGGACTAGATGACCTCCAAGATCCCTTCCAACTCTGTTATTCTGTAATTCTGTTCTGTTATTCTGATAGTGTCATGGAGACAACGAACATGAATTTAGGAAAACTCTGGGAGACAGTGGAGGACAAGGGGGCCTGGCGTGCTCTGGTCCACGGTGTTGCAAAGTGTCGGACACAACATATTGACTGAACAACAACGACAACCAATCTGGCTTTTCAGAGAAAGTTCAGTGATGTCTCTCAATCTGCAAATTCAACTAGGTTTTGCTGGGGAACATGATGAACTCTGCAACTCAAGCACCCATCTACCTGATTTTCACCTCATTGGAGTGGAGGGGGAAAAAAAAACAGATCTCAAAATTGAAAGAGAGTCAGATAGAAGGAAAGAAAATAAGCAATTAGATGATACAAATCCAAACCAGAATGAAGGAAGAGCAAAAGTTGGACGTTTTCTGGTTCACTTAGAAAAATCTAGAAAAGATTACGATGAGGAATTTTTTAAAAAGTGGCTCACTCAGGTGCATGAAAGAGAAAGGCAAGAATATAAATTATTCTTATAATTTATAAGAATAAGGAGAAGTGATTTTCCTTCTCCTTGGCACAAGATGTTGAGAGATGATGGATACATACGAAAGAGGAGGGGGTAGATAGGTAGAGAGAGGAGTAGGTAGGTAGGTAGGTAGATAGGATAGACTATGAGAGATAGATAGATAGATAGATAGATAGAGAGAGAGAGAGAGAGAGAGAGATAATGATAGGTAGGTAGGTAGACAGGTGGGTAGGTACATAGGTAGAGAGACAGACAGACAGATAGATGATAGATAAAGAGATAGACAGATAGAGAGAGAGAGAGAGAGAGAGAGAGATGAGATAGATAGAGAGATAGAGAGATAGAGAGATGTGATAGATAGATAGATAGATAGATAGATAGATAGATAGATAGATAGATAGATAGATGAGAGAGAGATAGGCAGGCAGGCAGGCAGACGTTTCTATCCGGGCCAACATTAAAAAAAGAAAACCAAATAAGACAGCAACGCTTCTTTCTGAATGAATTCAGCCCAGATGGTTCAAACGAGAATGAGGAATATTTCAAAAATGTGGATGCTTGTAATGACCCACCGCTGCCTTTTTCCAGAGCGACTCCAGATTTCACTTAGCAATTGGAAAGCTTCGCTCCGGAGCAAAAACTGGGGAAAAGGAAATCTTGACACTACTGTGTCGACTCCGGAGAAACACGACATAAACCATCTCTGCCTCTGCCGTCCCCTTCTCTTTTCGCCTTCCATCTTTCCCAACCTCAGGGTCTTCCCCCCCCCCCCAAAGTCTTCAAAGCCAGAAAAAAAAGGGCTAAACTCTGTTCCATTTGTTGTGATGTAGGTTTCCTGAGCTCGGTGGGGCCCCTTCCTCTATTCTTTTAGGAGCCTCTCTTTGCTTCTGTCATCGGGCCAAAGCTGCCCACTTAAAGCCTGATTTAGCGATGGCTAAATGCATTTTTTTTTGCAGTGTTCCTTGACCGACTGTCACCCACAAAGCCGGATCTATACACATAATGCCTTTGCAGGACTCAGCAGGAGCAGCCTAGCCCTGCCCTGGCTCAGAGACCTGAACCGCAATCTAGAAACCGGTGGCACACCGAAGGGAGAACCAGATTAAATCTCCAGTGGCAGGATAAATCTCCAGCCTCGGATGAACGCACCCAGCCTCTTGGCTAGCGGTGATGGAGGATCAGAGACCATCAGAACTGTACGGCTTCAGGGGGGGTTAAGGGACACATTTGGCTCTGCACTCATCCTGACAGCACAGGGCAGCTTTGGAATGGAGAGTCCCCAGAAAATATAGAAAAAGAAGAGAATATCTTTTGCAAGAACTCAAGAGAAGCAGCGCAAGATCGGAAGACATGGAGAGAGTTGGTCCATAGAATCGCCAAGAGTCCGACGCGATTGAATGGATATCTTCTTCCTCTCCTCCTCCTCCTCCTTCTCCTTCTTCTCTTCTTCCATCATCATCATCATCATCTTTTGCAACTTCCCTCTAGTCCTGATCCTGGATGATAGTGGTGGCCTCTGATATTTTTTTATTACCGACTACCTTTTATGATTGCAGAGTAACAGAATAACAGAGTTGGAAGGGACCTTGGAGGTCTTCTAGTCCAGCCCTCTCCTCAAGCAGGAGACTCTATTCCATTCTGGACAAGCGGCTGTCCAATTTCTTCTTGAAAACCTCCAGTGATGGAGCCCCCACAACTTCTGGAGGCAAGCCGTTCCACTGATTAATTGTTCTCACTGTCAGGAAGTTTCTCCTTAATTCCAGGTTGCTTCTCTCCTTGGTTAGTTTCCATCCGTTGTTTCTTGTCTTGCCTTCTGGTGCTTTGGAGAACAGGTAGACCCCCTCTTCTTTGGGGCAACTCCTCAAATATTGGGAGACTGCTATCATGCCACCCCTAGTCCTACTTTTCAGGAGACTTAAAAGTACCCAATTCCTGCAACCGTTCTTCATATATTTTAGCCTCCTAATTATCTTGGTTGCTCTTCTCTGCACTCGTTCTAGAGTCTCAACATCATTTTTATATCATGGGCACCAAAACTGGGTGCAACATTCCAGGTGTGGTCTTACCAAGGCATTATAAAGTGGTACTGAACGGTTAATTAAAGACTAAATGGTAGGGCTGCCGAAAGACTTGAAATATTTGTGCGTGGGGGGGGGACGAGAGAGCGCTGAAAGAATTGGATCAATTACCGAACGGTTCGACAATGAGAAAGCGCTAGTGAATGTACAAATTGCGTTGCAGGATTCCTCCATGGGGCACCGTCTTCAGATGGCGTGTTGGCCCAAGGAGGATGCAGGCCTGGTATCCCATCCTCAAGCTCAAACAGACGGGAAAGGCTGGCAGCAAGATAGATGAAGCTGTGAACTTGGGAGACATGATAGCAGTGTTGCAATATTTGAGGGGCTGCCCCAAAGAGGAAGGGGGTCAACCTATTCTCCAAAGCCCCTGAAGGCAGGACGAGAAGCAATGGATGGAAACTAACCAAGGAGAGAAGCAATCTGGAATTAAGGAGAAATTTCCTGACAGTGGGGACAATTAATCAGTGGAACAGCTTGCCACTAGAAGTTGTGGGTGCTCCATCACTGGAGGTTTTTAAGAAGAGATCGGACAACCGTTTGTCTGAAGTGGTAGAAGGTCTCTTGCTTGAACAGGGGGTTGGATTAGAAGACCTCCAACTCTGTCATTCTGCTTACACTTGTACTCTATAATATTTGTCCACACATTAGATCATAATAACATGGCCCAATATTTGATGGGCTGCAATGAAAAAGGGGGGATAACTTATTCTCCAAAGCCCCTGAAGTCAGGACAAGAAGCAACGGATGGAACCTCATCAAGGGGAGAAGCAGCCTAGCACTAAAGAGGGATATCCTGACCGCTAGAACAATTAATCAGTGGAACGAGTTGTCTCTGGATGCTCCAACACCGGAAGGATTTTAAGAAGAGATTGGACAGCCATTTGTCTGGAATTGTATAAGGTGTCCTGCTTGAGCAGGGGGTTGGACTAGAAGACCTCCAAGGTCCCTTCCAACTCTGATATTCTGTTAACTAGCAGATGCCAAGATCCAATTCTGTGGGAATCTTAGGGGGGGGGGAAACGGGTTGAGAAGGGGATACTCATCTTTCTGTCCATCCTTCCCCCCCCTCCTCGTTCATTAGCTATGCAACCTAATTCCGATTTCCTTTGTTTAACCAAGCTGAACTCCCGTGCCAAGCAAGATTGGATGTCAAAGGTCAGGGGACATTTGCGATCGATAGAAAATCAATTCGAATCCAAAGGAGCTAACTCTCCTACTCGTCAAGTCCTGGGAGAAATCATTCATACAACCCTTGTTTATTGAGAAGCAGGAAAAGGAAGAGATAGAAAGCAAGACCGAAAGGTAGATAGATTTGCGATGCGGACAAGTCCAACAACAAAGATATATATATATATATATATAGAGAGAGAGAGAGAGAGAGAAAGAGAGATCCTTTCGCTGTTTTGAAAACCAGAAAGATCATTAAAGCTGCAGAATTTTTATATATATATAAAATCGAACTTTAGAAGATAGCTGGAAAGTTGAAAAAACGGCAGGGATGGGTGTTACTAAAGGAGAGCTCAGCCTGAACTCTTTCTAGCTGCTTTTTGGTTTTCCATCCGGAAGTCTTATTTTACTTTCAAGGAACATTTTCCAAATCACGCCCGAAAGAAAAATCACATCAGCCACCTTGGAGTCATCTTCGGCTGTCTTGTCATCTCCTGCAGGGACTTCCAGAGAGGACCTGATGGCCCAGGAGGAGCTCCAACAAAGGAGATCTTCTACTTGCTCACTTGAGTATTTCGAGGGGGTTGAACGGGGGGGGGGGGGTCAACTGCTTAGCCCAAATGCCCGAGACACAGCTCCCCACCACCACCCACCACCGTGAGGGCTGACCCTCACAACTATCCTCTCCCAATCCCCCCCCATCCTTTGCGCCCACTCAAGCAAGCATCGCTTAGCAAATCAACATTCCTGGTTTGCTCTCCCACTTCCAGACCAGGTTCTAACCAGGCAGCCCTTTGGTATTTGGGTGGGTCTCCTGGAGGGAGGTGCCCTCTCCTGCCCTGACCCTCAACCTTCCCCGCAGAAGGAGGCAGTCAAAAAAAAGCTCGGCGGGTCCCTAAACCAGAGGGGAAACTGAGGCAGGGAGAGGGAACGGGGGGGGGTCGCCGGCTGGAGTTACAAGGAGAAGGACGGGGGGGGGTTGTCTCTTGCGTCCTACCTTTGCAGAGCCGTGTGGGCATCCAGGACGCCGGTGCTTTGCATCCACGACCTGACCGCCGAGAGTCCCCCTCCGCTCAGAGGCTCCTCTTTCATGGTCAGCCCCCCTCTGGCCAGGCTCTCCTGGATGGAGAACATCAAAACTGCCTTTTACCTCTGCCTCGAGAGGGGTGTGTGTGTGTGTGTTTGTGTGTGTGAGTGTGAGTGTGTGTCGGGTGGGCGCGCGCGTGCCGTCCTCCAACCAAAACAATCCCAGCCCCCCCGAGCAGGGGCTTGTTGGGGAGGAGAGGAGGGGTCGCTCGGAAGAAAGTTTGGGGTCTCTCGGCTTTCCGGGACCGGCAGCTCTCCGACGAGGACGGGAGGACCCCGGGGCGAGAAACTGGGGAGCGGGGCAGAGGCTGAGCGCCGTCCGAGACCCCAGCCCAGCCTGGGGGGCCGGGGGCCGGGAGGAAAGGGGCTGCCCTGGCGCCACCACCTGCTCCCGCCGCCACGAGGTGTCGGGGTGACAATCCGGGCTCGGGGATGCTTTGCTGGCTTCCCGGCGGCGGCGGGGCAGGCAGGGAGGCAGGCAGGGAGGGAGGCGAGCGCTGGGTGGGGACGCCTCGGCGGGGAGAGGATGGAGGAATCAGAGAGCAAGGAGCCCCCGGGGAGGGAGGGAGGGAGGGAGGGAGGGGTGGGGAAGGGCGGGGGGCAGGAGGAGGAGGAGGAGGAGGAGGCCGGCGAGCGGCAGGCGAGGCAGCGGCGGGTAAGCAGGCAGGGCTACCCCCGGGGCCACGGGGACCACCGGAGCGGAGCGCGCCCGGGATGCAGAGCCCGGGGCCGCCGGAGGTGAGCGAGCGTCCAAGGCGAGATGGGGGGGGGGATGGAGGGGGGAGAGGGCGAGTGGAGTGGGGACCGGGGACTGGGGGGCAGCGGGAGGGGGAGGGGGCTGGAGGGGGCTGGATAGAGGAAAAGTTGGGGGGGTCTGCCAGAGCACGCGGGAGGGGGACGGGGCTGGGGGTCTCCCCTCCCTCCCTCCCTCCCTCCTTCCTCTCGCCGGCTGCGGACTTTACCGGAGCGGCGGGCAGGTCGGAGCGCGGTCCGGGGCTCCTTCCTCCTCCTCCTCCTCCTCCTCCTCCGCCCCCCCCATTGGCCGGCAGGAGCAGGAGCAGCAGCCGCCGCCGCGGGTCCCCGGGGAGCAGCCCGCCGGCCGGAGCGCCCGCCGCCCGCAGCCGCCTCCTCCGCCTCCGCCTCCGCCTGCGCTGCTGCTGCTGCTGCTGCTGCTGCTGCCTCCGACGGCCGGCCTGGCCGCCCTGCTGGTGCTGCTGCCCGCCGTCCTCCTCCTCCTCGTCCTCGTCCTCCTCCTCTTCGTCCGCCTCGTCCGGCGGCAGCAGCAGCATCAGCACCGCCAGCCAGTGCGGCGCGGGCCCGGGCGCAGCTTCCAGCCGCAGGGGGAGCGGGCCGCCGCCGCCGCCGCCGCCTCCTCCGGCCGGGCCGAGCCGGGCCATGCCGCCTCCCTCCGCCTCCCCAGGGAGGAGGGGGCTGCAGCCACCGGGCCGAGCAAGCTGACATCATCCGGGGAGGGGCGGACTCCAGGGGACGGACGGAGGCGGCGGCGGCGGCGGCGGCGGGGATGACCGCGGGAGGGACGCGCTGGGCTTGGAGACCCCCCCCCTCCCTGGTCATCTCGCTTCCCCGGGATCCCTGCCTCGGTCTTCGCCGCCCCCCCTCCCCACTCGCCGCCCCCCCCCCAAATATTCCAGCCTCGGAAAGTGCGTCTCTCCTCTGGGAGCCCCTCAAAGTTTTGCAGGCTCCCCCCCATCCATCCATGTGCCTCCCCCAGGGGTCTCCGTTCCCCGAGACCCCCCTTCATAGGGCCCTATCCGCAGCCCCCCTCACTCCCCCAAAGCTCCCCCTTTTCCTTAATCGTTTCCTTCCTTCCCCCCTTCCTTCCCTCCTTCCTTTCTTCCCTCCTTCCTTCCCTCCTTCCTTCCTTCCTTCCCTCCTTCGAGCTAAGAACAGTCCTGCTTTCTCTCTCCCTTTGCATTCAGAGGACCCCCGTATCCCAGGCCAAGCTCTTAAGAGCCCTGGTGGCTCAGCAGACTAAAGCACTGTTATTAACATCCACTTACATCTGCTGCTTGCAATTACTGCAAGTTCGAATCTCGCCAAGGCTCAAGGTCGATTCAGCCTTCCATCCTTTCAAAGTAGGTAAAATGAGGACCCGGATTGTGGGGGCAATAAGCTGACTTTGTATAAATATACAAAAGGATGAAGGCTATTGCTTAGCGCATTGTAAGCCGCCCTGAGTCTCCGGAGAAGGGCGGCATATAAATCAAATTAAAAAAAAAAAAAAAGAGTCGGAAGGGATCTTGTGAGGTCATCTAGTCCCGGGATTTCCAATCTGGGCAACTTTAAGCCCGGAGGACTTCAACTCCCAGTTGAAGCTGGGGAATTCTGGGAGTTCCAAGTCCTCCAGGCTTAAAAGTTGCCAAGGTTGGAGAGCCCTGATCTAGTCCAACACCTCCCCCCGCTCTCCATCCTCCCCAGGCAGGAGGCCCTACACCCCATTACTGACAGATAAGATGCAGGTTTGAGTAGCCGATACTCCGATCCTGAGTAGGGCGAGGGAGCAAACGGCATTTGGAGGCCCTGCAAAGCATGCCAAAGTTTGGTGAGTTGTCTGAAGCCGGCTGATGTGCCAAGGTAGCCAAATTTTGCAAGCTGCTCCTACTGAATGTCCTTTGCCCTCCCTCTTGTCCATCCCGAAAAGTGTTTGGGAGGGTTGGTGCAACTTTCCTTAGAGCAGTATTTCTCAACCTTGGAAGCTTGAAGATGGGTGGACTTCAACTCCCAGAATCCCCCAGCCAGCGGCACTGGCTGGGGGATTCTGGGAGTTGAAGTCCACCCATCTTCAAGCTTCCAAGGTTGAGAAACACTGTGTCAATCTCTGCTCTTGTGGGTATTTTATTTCTGGCCAGGAAGTGCAGTGATCTTTTAGCTTTTGGATTGTCTCTTTTGAATGGTGTGTAAATGTGATCCATCTCTATGTGCCCGTTGATGGCCGTTTTGTCTGAGTGCCGCTGGCTGGGGGATTCTGGGAGTTGAAGTCCACCCATCTTCAAGCTTCCAAGGTTGAGAAACACTGCCTTAGAGGGAGGAGGAGGAGTTCGTTGATCCTCTTTACCTTTGCCGGATTTTATTCTCTGGGATTTTTAATTTTAAGAATGACAGGTCGTTCTCGATTTACAACGGTTTGTTTAGTGACCGTTTTGAAGTTACAACGGTGCTGGGAAAAAAAGTGACCTTACGATCGATTTGCACACTTAACCACCATTGCAGCATCCCCCGGACTCACAGGGTCCAAATTCAGGACGCTTGGCAACTGACTCGTATTTATGACGGTTGCAGAGCCCTGGGGTCAGGTGATCCCCTTTTGCGACCGTCTGATAAACAAAGTCGATGCAGAAGCCAGATTCACTTAACAACCGTTTTACTAACGTAATAACAGCAGTGATTCATTAACAGCTGCGGTGAGAAAGGTCATAAAATGAGGCAAAACTCGCTGAGTTTGTCTCGCCTAGCGACAAAAATTTTGGGGCTCCATTGAGGTCAGAAGTAATAATACAGGTAGTGTTCGACTTACAACCACAATGGAGCCCCCAAATTTTGGTTGTTAAGCGAGACAGATGTTAAGTGAGTTTTGCTCCAATCTACGACCTTTCCTGCCACTGTTGTTAAGTGAATCCTTGCTGTTGCTTAAGTTAGGGGCACGGTTGTTAAGTGAATCTGGCTTTGCCACTGACTTTGCTTGTCAGTAGGTCGCAAAAGGGGATCGCGTGACCCCGACTGTCATAAATACGAGTCCGTTGCCAAGGGTCTTGAATTTTGATCAGGTGACCCACGGGAATGCCACAACGGTCATAGGTGTAAAAAAAGGTCAGTGCCATTGTAACTGTCACTAAAAGAAGAGTTGTAAATTGAGGACTCTCTGTATGTTTGGTGTGGAGACAGCTGTTGGGATTGCTGTGTTAGAAATTTCGATCTCTAATTACAACAATGTTCTGTTGTTTGTAAACGCACTAAAATCCTCTGGGAGTGGGGGAACAGTTATAATTGCCCCCCTGCCCCTCCCACCATGCATCCACCCCGCCCCCATTAATTGCTCTTGGCTCCGATTGCTTGAGGGCTCAACACAGGGGTCTCCAAACTTGGCAGTTTTTAAGACTTGTGGACTTCAACTCCCAGAAACCCACAGCCTGCATGCTTTAAGATGGGTGGACTCCAACTCCCAGAATCCCCCAGCCAGCAGGCTTTACGATGGGTGGACTCCAACTCCCAGAATCCCCCAACCAAGAGGCTTTAAGATGGGTGGACTCCAACTCCCAGACTTCCAAGTCTGAATTTTGATCACGTGACCCTGGGGAATGCTGCAAAGGTTGTAACTGTGAAAAATCACCCTAAGTCACCTTTTTCAGTACCGTTGTAACTTTGAATGGTCGCTAAATGAACTGTCGTAAGTTGAGGACTACCTGCACAGATGCCGAACATGTCCCTCCGGACGTCTGTCGGACTGAATTAATGAAGGGCTTGAGGACTATAAGTAGTCCTTGATTTACAGCCATTTGTTTAATGACAGTTCAAAGATACAACAGCACTGAGAAAAAGGTGACTTACGACCAGTTTTCATACTTACGACCGTCACAGCATCCCCATGGTCACATGATCCAAATTCAGACAAATTTGGCAACTGGCATGTACTTAATGACGGTCGCAGTGTCCCGGGGTCACATGACCCCCTTTTGCGACCGTCTGACATGCAAAATCAATGTGGAAGCCAGATTCACTTAACAACCATGTTACTCACTTAACAATGGCAGTGACTCACTTAATGATTGTGGTAAGAAAGGTCGTAAAATGGGGCACAGCTCACTTAACAAATGCCTTGCTTAGCAACAAATATTTTGGGCTCAATTGCAGTCATAAGTCGAGGACTGCCTATACTAGGTTTTGCACATGCTCAGCTGCAGGGACCGAGTGAGGTGGAGGAGACCTCAGGTAGTTTTAATCCTTATTTTTTTTTAAAAAAATCATTTAGTTCTTTACTTTTCTAGCATTTTTAATTTTTTTCCTAAAATTTCAGCATCTGCCCTCGCATCCCATTCTGGCTCACTTTATTTAGATTTCTTCCGAATTTATTTATTTATTAGATTTTTAAACTCAATCGTTTACTTTTTTTTTTTTTTAAAGATCTTTCTCTAAATCAGGGGTCTCCAACCTTAACAACTTTTAAGACTTGTGAACTTCAACTCCCAGAATTCCTCAGCCAAGGAATTCTGGGAGTTGAAGTCCACAAGTCTTAAAAGTTGCCAAGGTTGGAGAGCCCTGCTCTAAATCACTTTTTTCACTGTCGTCGTAACTTCGATCTGTCACTAAACAAATGCTTGTAAATCAAGGAGTACCTATATTTCAACCCCCCCCCATCTGGAGGAATAAATTCAAGTCCGCGGCATCCCATTGAGAAGGTCCCAACAGGCGCTGGAAGAAGGTTGGGTGGACATCTCTGCGGCGAAGAAACCAACGTGACATCATCAGGGGCCAAGCTTTGATGGAGAAGGACTTTATGACCAGGAAGAAGGAAAGAAAGGGAGATGGACATGTGGTTTTGGAAGACGTACCTCCAAGATCGCTTGACCTCACGTGAAGAAACACTTGGGTGTCTCTTTCACACTTAATAACCATCTCACGTGTCGGATGAATTGAGTCCTGAACGTCATAATTCGTGCCCCTATTAGGTCTCTCAAGGTGCCCCACAAGCCAGCTCCTTGTGGTATGGCTATCTGAAGAAGCCCAAAGGTCAAAGCTAAGTCGGAAGACCACCAGACCTGTGGAGAACTTCCAACAGCTGGAAGTGTGGTGAGCATGTCTGGTCTAAGTCAAGAACTTATGATGTCTATGGATCAGGGGTGAAATCCAGCAGGTTCTGGAGAACCGGTAGCGGAAATTTTGAGTAGTTTGGAGAACCGGCAAATACTACCTCTGGTTGGCCCCAGAGTGGGCTGGGAATGGAGATTTTGCAATATCCTTTCCCCAGGAGTGGGGAGGGAATGGGGATTTTGCAGGATCCTTCCCCTGCCACGCCCACCAAGCCACACCAAGCCACGCCCACAGAACCTGTAGTAAAAAAAATTGAATTTCACTACTGCTATGGATGTCCTCTTAGTGACGGATGCAGCTTTTTCCCTGGTGGAGACGGTAAGGTAAAGGTTCCCCTCGCACATATGTGTTAGTCGTTCCTGACTCTAGGGGGCGGTACTCATCTCCATTTCAAAGTTGAAGAGCCAGCGCTCTCCAAAGACGTCTCCGTGGTCATGTGGCCAGCATGACTCAACGCCAAAGGCGCATGGAACGCTGTTCCCTTCCCACCAAAGGGGGTCCCTATTTTTCTACTGGCACTTTTTAC